GGATGAATGGAGAACTGAAACCCAGCTTCCCTAAGTACAATGCTTGGAACATAATATATTTGTTTTGTATTTTGTTTTGTTATTATTTTGTATTTCATTATCATATTGTAGAGTTTTGATTTTCCTTGCTGTAAACTGACACTAGGGATGTTAACTGCAGACAACAGGCTATAAATAAATTGGTTTTGTTGTTGTTAGGATTGTAGGAGGCTGCCCTATGTCGAATCATGCCATTGGTCCATCTAGCTCAGTATTACTTACACTGATTGGCTGCAGCTCTCCAGGGTTTGGGGCAAGGGTCTCTTCCAGCCCTACTTGGCCAGGAATTGAACAGAGGATGATGATAGCTGTTACACTGATAAAACACCTAAGATGACTTCTTCATTAATCATTTTCCAGTGCTCTTAACATTCTTAGAGCAACTCCAGTAATTCATTACAAATTGTCAAAATGTGATATTTAAGCCATTAGTCAGAATAACCTTTACAATGTCCATAAGCCATTTACACTCTTCCATACTGGATTGGATCAAGAATGGCAACCAACAGTGTCTCCACCCCCATCATTTAGCCCAGACACTGAGGCCCAGGACCTTCTGGCGGTTCCCTCACTGCGAGAAGTGAGGTTGCAGGGAACCAGGCAGAGGCCCTTCTCGGTAGCTGCGCCCGCCCTGTAGAATGCCCTCCCATCAGATGTCAAGGAAATAAACAACTATCTGACTTTTAGAAGACATCTGAAGGCAGCCCTGTTTAGGGAAGTTTTTAATATTTGAAGTTTTATTCTGTTTTTAGTCCTCTGTTGGGAGCCGCCCAATGGGCTCCCAGATGGGCAGGGAATAATAATAATAATAATAATAATAATAATAATAATAATAATAATAATAATAATAATATCAGTGATTCTCAAAGACCACAGAATGTATCTTGACTGTGACCCAGATCAAAGTACAAATTTCTCTAATGATGATCAAGGGTTAGATATTGATGGAACTATTCCTTTGCCCCATACACACACTCCGATCTTTTGCTCTGAGATTGATTAATATTGTGGGGCTCAAAAATCCCGCTCTTTCATTTTCCTGATGATCTGCTTGCCCTTAAGCTTCAGATGAGGACACAAGTGAAGACTGCAAATGTAATCCTCTCAGTCAGGCTTGTTGAGAAATACGTCTTACAGAGTTCAGCAGAGGTGACCTCCCTAGGAAATATCCATAGGATTGCGATCTAGGTAATTTTCCACACTAACCCTTTTTCTAGTATCGACAGCATCGTTTGCTCACACATGAACCAGAAGCATCTATCCCAATCCAATGCATTCCCGTGTTTTGCCCATTCTCTTCCTGTTCTGGTGGTGGTGGTATTTGGTTGTCACTTTCCTCCCTTCCAAGTGCTAGACCATCACGGTTTATCAAACAAACAACACAAGAACAGCACAAGGCTTTCAGGTGTGATCTGACTGATGCTGTTGACTCAGTTGGTGCACAGGCCTTACTTGTGATGCAGCTGGCGACAGTGTGGAACCCTGCCTGTCTCCCTTGTTTGGCAGCTTCACCACCAGAGCCATCTTTCCCATTGGTCTTAGTGGTTCGTTGCGCCAGGGTGCCGGCCTCTCAGGGGCGCCCTAGCGAGTGGGGGAGGGGGCTGCGTGGCTTTGCTGGCAGCCTCCCCTTTCCCTGCACGCCTGCCAGCTGCACCCCGCCAACTACAGTGGTACCTCGGGTTAAGTACTTAATTCGTTCCGGGGGTCCGTTCTTAACCTGAAACAGTTCTTAACCCGAAGCACCACTTTAGCTAATGGGGCCTCCCGCTGCCGCCTTGCGATTTCTGTTCTCATCTTCAGGTAAGGTTCTTAACCTGAGGTACTATTTCTAGGTTAGTGGAGTCTGTAACCTGAAGCGTATGTAACCTGAAGCGTATGTAACCCGAGGCACCACTGTATATGGCTGGCGGGTGTGCAGCTTCCTTCCCAAGCCTCCGCAGGAGGAGAGCGATCCCCGCAGAGGCTTAGGATCCCTCTCAAGCCTGTGCATCTGCTAAAGACGGGGTCGTTATCCTCCTCCTGCTTCCTGGTGCGCAGCCTTCGTGGGCTGCCTTCTCAGGCCCCGATGCCAGAGAACATGTCCACCAGCATGTTTTCCTGCTTGATCGCTGCTGCCATGCCGGGGATCGGGGTGGTGGGCGGGGCAGAGGACATTTTCCACCACCCCCTTCCTTGTTTTGGAGTTGCCATGAGGGGTGCACCGGAGGGATCTTTGCACCACGGCACCGGATATGCTTAAGACGGCTCTGCTCACCACTGTCCCTTCCTCTGCTCTTCAGTGAAATTGACAAGATGGGGAGGGGGGAGCCTTTCCTGTTCCTTACCTCAAAAAAGAAAGAAAAAACTCTGACTGAGAACACACATGCACTTTGATGCAATATAACCTAAAAGACCCCTATCCTGACAGCGATAAGGCAGGGAAAGGATGTGAATTATCAGAAAGGATGTGCCAGGGGCAGAAGCAGGCAGAGATAGGCAAGTTAGTTCCCACCAAGGTTCTGCAAAGTAACGCCGCTCTCTGCTGCACTGCCTATCTGGGGTTGCAACATTGCCTGCTTCTGTCCCTTTGCCCTTCCTTGTACTTGAAAATGTTCATTTTTGTTAATGCGTGGGGTTGTGTTCTGCTGCTGTGCACAATCGCCAAACAAAGTTAATGCTACTTTAGGGTTAGTTTCACATCAATAACCTTTCGTTAATGCAAAACTAGCACTAACTCTGTTCCGTTCAGCGCGGCAGCTGCTGTCCTCTGAATGCACCCCCTAAATTTCTCTGAAGGCCAGTTGCCAGAGAGCATGAGCTGGAGAGAGTGATGTTGCACATGTGTCCTGATTGTGGGCTTCCCATGGGTATCTGGTTGGCCACCACCAGAACAGAATGCCAGTTTAGATAGGCATTTGGGCGTCCAGCAGAGCTCTTCACGTTCTTACCTCTTGTTTTGAGGAGGCTTGGCCATTTCAGGACCAAAGGTCAACTCCTTTTATCCATTTAAAGCCTGTGATCGAAAGAGGTAAATGAATCTCAGCAGCAATATTTTTATTTGTTAAATTTGGCTGCGGAAATTAATAGGGTTATGGAACCAGAAGCAGATTTCTGTGTGTAATAGTAGGGCTTTTAAACTCGGGTACTAAAGAACATCATAAACCATTTGATGATGTCTGTTGCACAGAGTAGGCTTATTATTGCATTATTTACTAGGTTTTGTTTGAAACATGTCAGTGTTGATAGTGCTCTAGTGCAAGTCACTCCCGTATCTGGGAAATGGCCAGCTTCATTCAACTCGGGTCTTGATGCAAACTAAAAAATCATCACCGTTCTGATGAAGTGGTCTCAGGCCCACAAAAGCTTATGCCACAGTAAATATGTTTGTCTTCAGAGTGCAATAGGGCTACCCCAACTACCTTCCAGAATTGTCATTTGGGGCCCCTCAATGTCTGTAAACATCTACCAGAAGCCTGTACTGGAATCTAACTCTTCAAACTATTATAGGAAAAGCAAAATCTTCCATCCAACTTCTTGTTAACTAGGACCAATCATGTAATTACCATCAGCAAAAGGAAATACTGCCCAGTAATGAGAGAACTTGTTTAATGGGAATTGATCTGCATGTGTTGGCGAGGTTAGACAACGCTGTGTTAAACAAATGTTACCTTTGACTTTCCAATCATTTTCCTTACTGCAAAATGTCCAAAGGCTTTTTGGTGGGTGGAGAAGTGGGCCTGTTGTGCAAGAGCTCCAAATCGACTTAAATTGTGCAACCTGAATTGAAGGTTCGTATAGTTAAAGCTATGGTTTTCCCAGTAGTGATGTATGAAAGTGAGAGCAGGACCATAAAGAAGGCTGACCGCTGAAGAATTGATGCTTTTGAATTATGGTGTTGGAGGAGACTTGAGAGTCCCATGGACTGCGAGAAGATCAAACCTATCCATTCTTAAGGAAATCAGCTCACTGGAAGGACAGGTCCTGAAGCTGAGGCTCCAATACTTTGGCCACCTCATGAGAAGAGAAGACTCCCTGGAAAAGACCCTGATGTTGGGAAAGATGGAGGGCACAAGGAGAAGGGGATGACAGAGGATGAGATGGTTGGATAGTGTCTCGAAGCTACCAGCATGAGTTTGACCAAACTGTGGGAGGCAGTGGAAGACAGGAGTGCCTGGCGTGCTCTGGTCCATGGGGTCACAAAGAGTCGGACATGAATAAACGACTAAACAACAACAACATATGACTGAATCCCACCCCAAAACAGTGACATTTTGAAGAAATGAGATGAAGTTGCCATTTTCTTTTAAAATATCTTGAGCTGCTGCTGTGGTCTCATCATTTCAACGGGGCCTTCCACAAAACCCCTTGGATCGTGTCCCCAGCAGGAAACAGAAACATCTTAACCGTAATTTATTTTTGCATGCATGTATGCAAGAAATACAGATATGGCGAGTCTTTGCGCCGCTGCCTGGGGCCTGGCACCTTCCTTGGACTTGGAGACGAGCAGAGGAGCAAACAACTTTGCCGTGTGAAATGCAAGGGGTCCCGTCGGTTCCCCCGCGCGCAATGCAGCATCAAACTCCAGCGGATGAGCTTCTGCAGAAAGGCGGACACGATCGTATGCCTTCGGCTCCTCCACAAAAGTCCAGAAAGCAGCCGGAGCCCTTTTTAAAGCGCCAGGGTTCACGGCGGCCGTGCGCGAGGTCTCCAGGAGATGGCGCGCGCCTTTGCGGCGCCTCTCGTCTCCATTGTCTCGCTCGCTCGCATCGCCCGCCTCGCTTGGCTGTGCTGGGAATCTGCAGTTCGCCGCTTTCGCTCGCCAGCTCCCCTCCGAAGAAGAGACCCGTTCCCGGAGCTGCTGCTTGGATTTTAATGCCAGATGCACGAGGATTAGCAGATCGCCCCGAGGAGCTATCCTGGAATTACCACAGGAGGAGGCGGAGGAGGAGGAGGAAAGGGGGGAAAGGAAAAGGCATTGTGGAAGAGAGAGAGAGAGAGGAGAGGGAGGGAGGCGCGCAGGGAAAAGACGATCGCTTGGAAACGGCAGCAACAGACCAGGAAATCGCTGGGCAGACACCAGGTAAGCTGGGAGCAAGAGGAGGCGTTTGCGAAATGGACTTAGGGAGGCACCGGCAGAGAAGATGTGCGAGACCCAGGTTTGGAAACCAACCAGTTCTCCCTTTCGCAACATGGAAATCGGGGAGGGAGGAAAGCTTGTGCAGGGAAGCCGCTTCCACTGCAGTCCCAGCCTTGGATGCAGTGCAGCAGGCGCAGCAAGCCTTGGCGAGCAGGTTGCGCGCATGGAGGCTGAGCCTAGCTTGCAGAGGAATGCTTCAGGAGCGGGATCCTGCTCAGTTCCTCCAATAATCTCTTCCCCAGTTGCAGCGATCTCTCTCTCTTAAAAGCTAAAGCTGGCTTTACTTTAATCTTCCCCTTGGGGTTGGCCTTTCTCTCCCCACCCGTATAGCTTGAACCACATGTGCTGGGATCTCCTTGCAAATGCCTGCTCGCTTTGCGTTCCTCCCTCTTACAAAGCGACGAGCTTTGAGCAAAGCAAAAAGCGGGGAGAACGGACCGCAAAAGGGGCGCGGTGCCGGAGGGTTGGTGGGGCGGGGGGTCGTGTAAGAGGGATAAATCCAGTACCTCGGACATGGGCAGCAGAATCTCTCTTTCTGGGCAAACTTCCCCAAGCTGACGGGGCACGATGGATCTCTGACTTTTCTGAAAGTTGTAATACTGCAATTCCTCTTCTTTCTCTTCCCCGCCCCCTAATAACTCTCGGAGGAATGGACAAGAATTGCCCAAGCTTGAGCGAGAATACAAGGTTGGGCCTCTGTTCCATTTATGTTGGTTGCTTTCTGCAAAATTCCTGGGATTAATAATAATAATAATAATAATCTATCCCTTGGGATAATCGATTCCAGAAGCCAGCAGCAATGTTAGCACTATTATTCCTTTGTCTAGTATTATAATTATGACTACTGTCTGTGTCATGAATATGTATTTTTAAAGCCTGGCTCTTGCATTTAGGAAAACGTAAGGAGCTTACAATTCCCGTGTGTAGACTGCTTTATATGTAATTTATAGGGTTCTTACTATAATCCTGGTTAAAGTGATGAGCGAGGGAGCAGAATCCTTAATTAGAGGGTCATCCCTGTTTTTCTTTTTAGGAATGCATGGAGGGGGAAGAGCCATTGACCTACTAAGAAAAATAGTGTTGTGGGGATTTTTTTTAATCAGGCTTTGGGTTGTTTTTCCTTTGTGCCAACTGTGCTGTCAATGTCCCTCCTCCGCCCAAGCAACATAAATGCTAAACATAAAATAAAAAGCAAATGATAAAACTGGATTTGGAAAAGTGGATGTGTTCAACCGGTTGGTGGGAAAGACCATAACCTTGCACTGAAATGGGCAATAGTAGAAAGCCATTCCTTTACTTGCGATAAAAAGGAATCCACAAGTTATAAAATTGCACACCAGTTGTAACTTTAGAAACCTTGGACATGCTGCCTTCTCAGGTGCCAAACTGGAGCAATGTTTACATATGTGCTTCTTAGACTCTCCCTCCTTGTAGTGGTGATAGACAGGGATATGATCCCTTCACAGCAAAACAAGTTTGCTGTGTGTTGATTTGATATTGGCTTAAAATGAATCAATGGCCACACTGTGATTGTGTTATAGTATGCCATATAGTTTCCTGCTTTGTAGGCCTTTTATGTCACAGGTACGCTTTCGTTTAAGCATAGATGTAATCCCACCAAATGCAACGAGTCCATTCCTGACAGGGCTGTTGGAATAACTGGAAGCTTTGCTATTGATTTTCAGCAACCTTTAGAGAAAGCCAGTAGCGCTAGCATCCATGCATATATGACGTCCTAATCTACAAAAAACCTGATGGCTCCCTAGGACACACTATCTACCGGAAAAAAACACACACCAACCGCTACTTACATGCACAATCACACCACCACCCGGCACAAATAAACTCCGTAGCCAAGACTCTCATCTCCAGAACCAAACGCCTGGCTGACAAAGACCACTTGACAACTGAGTTACAGAATCTCTCCAATGTGTTAATCGCCAATGGATACCAGCAAAACAGGGTTACGAAGCTAATGCAAAAAGAAACACCCCCCAAAAACCAAGACACAGAAGAAAACAATGGCATGGCCCTCCTTCCTTATATCAAGGGCACTACAGATAAAATTAGCAAAATCCTCCATAAACACAATATCAAAACAGCCTTTTGCACCAACCAAAAAATAGCCAATATCCTCAGAAACCCCAAGGATAAAATCCAGTTGGAAAACCAAGGGGTCTATGAAATACCCTGCAAAGTCTGCCCAGCCACGTACATTGGACAAACAAACAGACGAATAAATGCACGTATCGCAGAACACAAGAATGCCGTCAAAAAAGAAGAAAAAACTTCCTCTCTTTTCCAACACATGAAAGAAACAGGACACGAAATTAATTTTGCAGATTCCAAATTGCTCTCTAACATGGAACATCACCACAAGAGAATAATCATGGAAGCCATCGAGATAGAGAAACACCCTCACAACATGAACAAGCGTGACGACACATCCCGCCTGCCAGACATCTGGAAATTAGCCCTCCCCACAAAAACCGACACCAGATCCAGAGGCACACAGAACGCCATCACCAATCAACCACACCAGACCCAAACCCAGACCCTCTCCACAGATAAATTACAGACACCATCCAGTAGCCAAACCATGGTGGCACCTCCGGATGCTGCACCCCCCTGCAATCCCTACACAGATCTGGCTGGCACAGGACACAAAACCACAGCTCGCCCCTATACACGAAGCCAAGCCAGAGCACAACTAAATGCAATACAGCCATCTTCTCAGAAAAACTCTTCACAAAGTTCAAGAGGTCAAGACACGAAGGCTTTAGCAACTAATCCACACCTAATGACCCACCTAAGTGGTACTCAGGATATCACTCAAGAAATCACTCAAGATATCCCTCAAGTAATTAAGGAACAAAAGAAGAAAAGGCACACTAGCCTGGGAACTTCCTCTCTGCCCAGAACATTGGAGGCTATACACCACACCCCCTCAACAGTATTTATAGGAACTCAAACACTGAGATCCTGCTCTGTTCCAGTAACAAGAAGCCGAAAGCACCAGCCTGAAGATGACGAGTGAGACCTCGTCGAAACGTCGCCTAGACACCCCAACTTTTACACGGGAAGACACCCGAGGACACCAAAACCTGCATATATATATATATATATATATATATATCATTTTAATGCCCACCAGCGGAGATTTATCTGCACTGAAATCTGATTGGCAAGGGAGGATGTCTAGCCCAGCTAGCAAGGCTGTCCTGGTCAGGGCTCATTAGCTGCATTACCATGGATTTGTGTGAAACAAAATACAGAGCGTGGTTGGGATCAGGCTGAACGTTTGCATGCGTTGTTCCCTGGAGGAAAGCTGAAATGCATTCCAAGGCCAGGATAGCAATCATTAAAGCTCCATGCCTTTGCGGATTGAGATGGAAAGATGTACAAAGTATACATTGCTGGCTCCCTAGAATGAAAACTGCTGCCAGTGTGTACAATAGTGAGCAAAAGGAACCAGTGGCCTGATGGTGATGGAAGGTAGTTTTCTAAGTTCTTAAGAAATAAGCAGATCCAGAGTGCAGGGGGGCCACAGACCAGAGGAATAGACTCTTGCACTGGGGTGTTGTTTCACGGGTTTTGTTGGGAGAGGGGTTCTTGTTGATATTTTTTTTTTGTATCTTTATTTTTACATCTTTTTAGATTTCTGTAGAAAATGTTCAATTTGGTTGTTTACTTTTTGATGAGTTTTATTTATTGTTTATGGCTACTTTCGTGATGTTTGTCATTATGCACATTTTTTCATGTTGTAAGCCGCCTTGAGCATTTTAACTATGGAAAGGTGGCATACAAATAAAATGACTAATTAATAGAATGTTGATAAACCACTTATATTCTGCATGGTGCACTGTAGGTTGCTGCTTTATATCAAGTCAGAATATTGATCCATCTCACGCAGTGTCATCTGCGCTAACTGGCAGCGGTTCTCCAGGATTTCAGGCAGAAGTCCTTTTTTCCACCTGACTGAAAGTCACCAGCAATTGAACCTCCTGCCTTCAAAGCTCTTCCACTGAGTTGTAGTTCTGCTCATATTGCATTCACGCTTTGGGTACTTTGAGCAAGGGTTGTACCTCGATGGTGGAGCACATGCAAAAGGTTCCAGGTTGAAACCCCATTCTCTCCTGATTGGTCTGGGGAAGCTTGCCTGGAGCCCATGGAGAACCCCTGCCAGTCAGTAGATAATACTGAGTTATACAGACTGGTGCTCTGTCTCTTTATGAGACAGATTCCCATGTGCTTAATCTGATGGCAGTGAAGGAGGTCCACAGCTGCTCCAGCTATAATTTGCCAAATAAGACCTACTTTAGATAATGTACGCAGGCAAATGCCATCCTTTCTTCCCCAGAGGAAAAGTGTCTGCTTGTGGTGCTTCTAGTACCTGCTCTATCAGCCTGTGAATCAAAGTGGGATGCTCAGCACGACAACAGGAATGGCAGAAATGGAGCATCAGTGAAAGAATGAAGCTAAGGATTTCTTAGTAGGGTAGGGTGGGATGGAACCTATGACCTAATTTTCCTAATGTAGGGTATTTCCTCAGAAGTATTACCCAGACATGAATCTGACATTGGGCTCAGCGTAGGCTCTGGGAGGCACTGCCTGAGGGACGCTGCAAAGATTTACAATTCACTCATTTATAAAAAGTCAGAGGGAAGAGAAGGCATGTGAAAGGGTAAAGCCCTGCTTCTCATGTGATGGCTGATATTCCACCTACTCTCTCTCCCACCCACCCGGGCCTTGGGTGTCCTTATTTTCACTAGGCCTTATTTCCTGTAGCCTGAAAGTATGTTTATGGCTGAATCAGGACCTGTGTTTGCAAAACACAGGAGTGTGTCACTTTAGGGCAGGACTTGACAACCCAGCCTTCTAGTGATTCAGAAAGTGAGTTGAGAGAGACTATGTGCAAGGTGCATAACCTTCTGTCGTCTTGC